GGTGGGGGGGGGGGAGAGAACCCTCTAAGATGCTCTATGAGAGACATGCGACTATGACACCACCACAGAGTAGCCAAAATTTGAATTGAGCCTCAGCAGCTGTCCCCCCATTGAGTCAGTCTGCCCCCTATTTCTACCTCCAGTCTCAGAAGGCTGGTGCGGCCACTGGTCTACGCCGAATTTAGCTGGTTCCCAAACGACTTTAGCTTCAATCAACAAAGGCACACACTATTTGACAACTCACAGTGTACAAAACTACTGTTTAATGGGAAGTTAATTATTGCTCCTGAGCTGTTAAAATTATACTCAGTTTATTGCCAAACAAAATAAAGCTGGCTGTTGTATTTTCATTGGGTAATGTGAAAGCTGGACTAAACCTAGCTTTTATTTGACCTTCAATAAATTGTTGAATACAAAAGACAGGTTTTCAGTTCAAGCAATTTGCCAGTGAAAACACTTGAAAAAACCAAATTGTAACCAAATTTAAAATACTTTACAGCTTAGAACTGTAAAAGAGATTACTATTTTTCTTGTTTCTAGGAATTATGATAGAAATAAAGATAAACTTGGTCTGGGTGGGATCATTATTTTATGGACCCATTAATAAATGCAATCTATGCAAAGTATTAATAGTTTGTAAAACTCACTTAAAGGGACAGGTGAGCCATTTCGGGGGGTTGATTTGAGTCTTGAATATATGTATATTATTGTCTTCAGAAGTACTAGAAATGTATGAATATGGCATAATTCCTGCAAGAATATTTCAAACTAGGAATTTCTTTTCTTATTTCTATAGACAGTCTTAAGAAAAGATGACTACCGGTAGACACACATGGATTTGAAGGCTCAAATTTCGACAGTGAGCTGTGAACACAATTTACGATTGGTAAAAAAAAATGACACACATTTCCCTTTAAATACAAATGATTTTTCTCAGGTTTACAATTTGAAGCATGGTGATATTCAAAATTCAAAGTAAATCTGAAAGAGTATCATTTTAAATCTTTATTTTTAATAAGCTGTAAACAAACCTGACCTATAAAGATATAAGATTACTGTATGCATTGCCTTTAAATCTTATAGTAAACATGAACACCTGTATGTAATAGTTATATCAGGTATAATATATCATAATAATAATCATACATATATATCATGTTATAATTTATTATATTTCTTATATCATAACACTGCTTACAAATTTACACTTCATGAATTTCTGGGTAATTGTGTTTACACTACATGTATTGTTATAAATAACAGAAATAATCAGATATAGGGTAATTCAACTTAAAAATTGCGTCTCTGAAAAAGTTCATTGTTTATGTATCTGCGCATGATTAATCCTAATTATATAAAAACATTTATATATTATTAGAATAAGCTTATATATACTTATTAATTGCAGCATAATTCAACTTAATATTTGTGTTTCTAAAAATGTGCATGAAATGTCTCTGTATCTTTGAATGATTTATCATCTTATTCTAATAACCTACATTAAAGGGACAGACTTGCCATTTTCAGGGGTTGATTTGGGCCTTGAATATTTTCAAATAGTCTTCAGAAATACTAAAAATCACATATCAAATCGTCATAATTCTGGACACACATTGATTTGAAGGATCAAATTTCAATGATGAGACATGGACACTATTACTAATTAGCTTAGCTAAAAAATTTCTGAAACTAACTTACGATTGGTCAAACGGATGGCAAAACTGTCCCTTTAATTGTCCATTCCCTTGTATATTTAACTTTTCTACATTGCCTTTAAATTATTTTCAATATATTTCAGGAAAGGAATAATATAGGTGATAGGTGATAAGTACAAAAAAGTTTAAGAAAAATCTGCATGATCAACTGATTGTAAGACTTTTCAGAATTCTTTATATTTGATGAATTGAGGTTACTTAAAACATCGCACCATTGAAATTGAGGAAAAAGAATTATGCTTAATGTTTCTGACTAGAAACGTGTCAATAACTGTCAAAAAAACATCTAAAAAGTCAGCAAGTTTAAATCTTATCATTAGATAGCACATAATAATTATTTCAAGTGGTATGCACTAACTATCAATTAACATGCACCATTACTCTTTCAAAAGCTTTTCACAAGTTTTAATTTAATTTTCAAATCTATTGAAATCCCTGTAATTTTTAAGTTATTTACATTAGTCAGTATTAAGGAAAGACATTTGTATGAATGTATAGTAATTAACAGTGCACTTGACAAACTCTTTTCTTACCACTTTCTGCACCAATGCTTAACAATAATTATTTGAATTTAAAGGCTTTCACAGGTGTTTATTGAACAAAATACCCCAAATTTCTCCCTATTTATGCTTGAATGTGTTTTATGTGGTGCTACTAACATTTACTGTTACTGTTTATATAAGTTCTGTTGCAAGTGTCATTCCCTTTTAGATATATTTCACTTTTTCTAGTTTTACAATTCATGAATATAATTTACACTTTTTTAAATGTTTGTTAAAATTTGTATAATACAAAACAAATGAAATGAATGAATTTTTACGTCCTACTTTTCTGCAACATGTGGGCTAATGAAGAGGAACAATGCCATGCAGGGTGCATTGCTTGCATTAGCCTTCTATTTTTAATTTCGAGGGATCTTTAACGTGTACAGTCTGTAGCACACGGCCTCGGTTTATTGTCCTTCTGAACACTTTTTCCATGCAAGCCCCTCTTACTTGCATCACTGGCAGGGGGAAACCGGTTTGAAAAATCTGAAGGCATCATCTCAACCTATGCTGGCATTGATCCCTGGACTCACAGAGCAGCTCCTATTTACAAAACAAAACAGCCAATGTGCAATCATTGTGATTAAAAGAATACTACCTCTTAGAAATTTTAATGTCTCAAACTTGGTCAATAAGTATATGTATTCATTACCAGGTGTCATGACTAAAAAATAGAATCCCTATATTACACGATATCTCTACTTAATTAATATATGTTTCTAAGCATGTTTGAAAATAACTTAGTTTAATGAATAATTACTTAGTTTTATAGATTTATTAGATTATAGAGGGATTCTGTTGTATAGTTTTGACACCAGGTAACTTCACTGATAAACAAAAACTTATTTTAACGAAGTTGTAAAATTTTAATTTTTGGTTATCCAAAGAGGTGGTATACCTTTAAATAAAATTGTAAAATTATGTGACAAGATGAATATATATCATCTCAATCGCAATTATACAAGGTTAATCTGCTACAGTGAAACACGGTAAAAATATGTCATAGCCGTGTACATTTTGACTCTTAAACTGTTCAAGTTGACTCAGTTTATATAATTTGTAAAGAATTTATATCACAGTACATGGTTAAGAGATCTTTTACTTATCTAATGATATGAAGACTTTTATTTTCATTTGGCACTTGTATTCAGCTGTCAGTCATTGAAGATTGGAGTGTATTGTGCTGGGTCAGTGAATATTATAACAGTAGTCAATCTCAGTGGGGGTAATAAAATACTCTCTATATACCAATAATAAACATACACTTTCTAAACTATAGGCTAACTTGGTCGCTTACCAATCTGATTGCTAGTTTATACAACTTTTGGAATGCAAGAGATCAAAGAGTGCTCATGTAGGTCTTCTACACAAAATACTGAGCTATGATTGATATACACCATTTTAATTTCTTATTATGATTTTGTAAAACCATCGCAAATTTTTATAATGCCACATTTTTTATGATATTTTCTTCAAAGATCGAGGGAAAGAATCCTCATAATCATGAAACAATGGAGAGAAAAAACTGAAGTTACAAAGAGGATTTTTTTTTGTGACTCTCGTACTTTTTCATCTCACCATCTTAAAACTGCTACTTTCAATAACTAAACACTATTATCAATCTATTTTTGAAAAATATGAATTTCAGCTGCAAATTCAGCAAGAAAAATGTCTTTTCTTTAGAGACTACAAGTAGTTTCTAACATAAAACGATGAAAGTTTTTTTCTATGATATATTCAATACAAATTTTCAAAGACTAGATTTAATGGACTAATTGTTCAGATAGCTGAAAAAATTTGTTGCTATGTTGAATAGAATTCCAACAAACCTCTTCAGAGATTAAAAGAGTGTAATCTAATATCAAAACAGAGTTTCAAAGACCAATTTTCATGGACTAATAGTTCTGAGAGATGAGATAATTTTGTTCTACGTTGTTAAAAAGAATGGATTTTTGACTACGGTCTACAGAATTCTTGGCACCTAAAACGCATACAAAGTTTGAACTTATTTCTCAAGACATTTAAATGATTCCTACAGTTAACAATGTTATGGCAAAATTTCCCTCATTGCACACTTGATTGCATTGCCTTCATCATGAGCTGAATAGGAAAAGAAATTTAAGATGAAAAATATTCAGTTAATTTGATTTTTTACTGCAATACATGTAGGTCTAAGCTCAGGCAACAAAATACTTATAGATACCCCATACATATCAAATTGTTATAATACAACGTAATACAAAAGAGGTGCAATACAACTCATATTGACCCCTTCTTAAACGTATATACATCTTCATTATATCCAATGACAGTTATCTTAGTATTACATTTTGCATTATTCCAGGGCATTATAATGAAAGGCACTTAGATTTGTAATTATATAAGGATTAACATACAACGACGGCTCCATCAAAGCGATAAAAAATGGGGTCAAAACTGACAAGCACGAGAGGGTCGCGAACTCACAAGCTAAACATGCTCCAAGGATAGCGAATGCATGAAAAAATCGTGCATCTTTTCCAACGAAAAATAAATGTAACGGTTAACTTACCGTACAATATTGTCCAGACGGAGAGAGCCGTAGCTACAATCCTCATGGCGTTTTTAAATTAGTAAACATGTGGTTATGACAGCTATATTCCGTATTTTACTACATCAATATAATGAGGGTCACTACTTCTGTGTTGTTTTGTGTATAGTTGAATGTAAAATGTGGAGTATTTCTATTTATAAATCAGCTACTGTAGTTGTCTTCACTCACAGGCTGAAGTTCCTCTACTTATCCGCGATTCGCTCTTCGAATAATGCGCTTGTAGACGGCCAAATATTTTATCAAATATTGATTACGTCAAATTGTTTATCCGCAGTTTTTTCTTATCGAAATATAATCATGGTTATCTTTTGTTTCTACTCTGCACTTGAAATTGTATCCTTGGCAGTATGTATTTACCACGCGTGACTTATGTGTCAAAGATAGTGCTTAGGCTATTTGCCACGCCAAATGTAGAGAAATTAACCGATTGTTTTGTTATGATGAGTTCGAGTCACATTTATAAAGTTTGAAAGCAACATAGGTAATTTTCATCACACCCCCCGCCCCCACCCCTCTTTCTCGAAATGAAATTCAGCGCGACGGTTCGTCTGAAATTCGGTAAAGAAAGCGGTGTGGGGATGGAGATGATTTGACAATATTCGATGTTTTTGGGTCTACGTTCCACAGAACACGATTTAAAGAAGAATCGTATCAGATAATGGATGAAAAATGTGGTAACCTACAGAAACATACGAACGAAACAATTGTCGAGATCTGTATTTTTATCAGATTTGGTGACAACGGTTTTAAAATTATCTTCAGTGTAGACTGTAGGCCTAGTTTCCAGTCATGCCAATATCACCAATGAAGTGATAATATATATGCAACGAAAACATGTCCCGTAATCTGAGATTCCATTGTCTCCATATGGACTACGCACGGTTTTATTTAATTGAAGAAGAACAGGTCGTCAATTTGTCCATATCAGCTCCAATTTGGTTGTTTAACGTTTTGGAATATTTCTTGATATAAAAACGAATATCCAAATTTTTGTCAGCGAATATGTATAATGTTACAACTTCTAATTTTTTGGAAAAGATTAACAAGTCGTTTATTTTAAATATCATTACTGCAAAGCTTGAATTTACGTCTTGATAATCAAAGGTTATTATTGACAAAATGGCGTCGGGCACCTGCTGAATTAAACATTCCAAATACGAAATAACGATTTAAAAACAATTGCTCTCAGGTATTATTATTATCAGGAGTGCAATTCAAACGAGGAATACTTATGTTGTAGGAACTATTCTTTAAAGTGATTTGTTTGTGGACAGATGAAGATATAAGTGGACATTAAAATCTTGTTGCTACAGACGCCATCCGTCTGCTGCTTGGTTGGGACTAACTCAAGTTTCCCTATCTGCTCCCCTTTCATAAACGTTTTATTCCACATCCCGACCCTATTGTACATTGTCATGATGCTTCAAACTGTCAAATCCAATAATTTAAACTATATTGGAAAGAATACTCAAGAGCCAAGTGGTTATCCTCTTAGCTTTTCAATTTCATATCAGACAGTTATCTTCTCTCATTTGAAAGTGACAAAGAAAATATGATAGATTATTGTCATTCCAGATATTGAGATAAGCTTAACCGGTACCAAATTAAAATTGATACACCTATTTGAAGTCTGTGAGAAAATTGTCAAAGAGAAGCATAAATGGAATTCATGATTTATAAAATCTTATTAATTTTTAGTTTCAGATTTAAAACATGTCTTTATTTACTGTCATCTGTTGAGAAAAGTTATATGAAAAATTGTCAGTATATTTAAAAACTTTCTAGATGGCTGTAGATGATAGATACTCTATGTCAGCAGACAAATACCTAGGTAAGATTTTTTCCAAGGATATTTCAATAAGCATATTAAAGGGACAGATGTGCCATTTTGTGGGTTGATTTGAGTCTTGAATATATGTTAATAGTCTTTAGAAGTACAAGAGATGCATACATAATTCCCTCAATAATATCTATCAACTAGGAATTTCTTTTCCTATTTCTATAGATGTCTATTATATATATGGCAGTGTCTCAATAAAAGAACTTTGAAACGCTAATAATTCTGGACACACATGAGTTTGAAGCCTCAAATTTCGATGGTGAGCTGTGAACACTATTACTATTACTATTACTATTGACATAGCTAGTCAAAAAAATGACGCATTTGTCCCTTTAACACCTCTGAATAACTAGATGCTTTTTCCATGTTAGTTTATCTAACCTCCATTACTGGCAGGCTAAACCAAGTTGCAAAACATGAATGAACTATCTTGATATTTGCTTTCTCTGTGTTGAAAAAGAAAATTTTCAACTTGCTTAGCTCCTGTAGGTCCCAGAGCAAGCTAAGAAAAAGAAACAAGAATACAATTGGTTCTGATATCTTTTTTCAGCTAAACATAATATTCTGGTGTACTTAGAAGATTCTGTAGCACAATTGCTAGAACATAAAGAAGAAAATTCTAAAGTGAATGCTGTCAAATTTCTTAGTGACTAGTAAGTTTTGATTGAAATTTCTCTGTATTAAAAATGATTGAAGACAACCATATATCAATTTAAAGGGTTAGGTCGAACGATTTAGGTGCTCAAATTAACAAAAACTATAGACCAAAATCTAAAAATATCTTATCTCAAAGTTTTAACCCAAAAAATCCTGCGATTAATTTTTAGAATACCAAACGTTTATCCTTAAGAGTTCCTATGTTTTTTGATTGCCAGTGTTAAGAGTGAAGAAGTTCCTAAAAACTTCTATGTAAAGCACTGGCCAAGGTCACAAATAAAGAGATAAATGTTCAATACAAGATAAGGTGAAGTTAGCATAGTTAGTATTAAGTTAAAAAAACCAATGTAGGATAAGTAATGAATGGAATCAAGCAAATTAGACGCCCAATTGTATTGTATTGAGCTTTCAATAGAAATTACCAACACACACATCAATATCTTGAAGATTATTTGTGGTATATCCCTTTAATAATAATTTATAATATTGTAGTTTTAGCAGTGTAAGAGATGGTAACCATACTATGTTTAGAGAATATACTTTTATACATTCAACACCACATAATAGAGCATCTTTTGTCAGATTATTCTGGAAATGTTATAGACAAATAGGTAAAAAGGGAGGTAAGAGAAAAGCTTTCTTTAAACTGGACAACAAAATCACTGTTGTCTTGCATTGTTTTGCTTTTAGTTACCAACAAATTTATCTTTTTTTTCTTATTTGTCTTGAAATTAGTGATATTTGATTAACTTATCAGGGCAACAAAAAGAAAATCTTGACCATAATTATTGTTAAAAGCGGTGGATGTACAAAAAAGTCAAGGGTCACCAATGTTAGCACTGATGTTCATGCTGGATTGAATACAAACTGTCAAAAAAACCTTTTCTAGCTTTTGTTGAGAATATGACATCATTTAACATTGTTACAAAAAGCTCGAATTCAGAACACACAACAGAATGAGAAAATGATGTATGGTTTGTCTGCAATATAAATATATACTATATAAAAGTTCTCACAGTTATTGCTGATGACTGTATCATTATGTTAATATCTGCATAATAACCTTGAAGTATTTCTAAAACTGAACACAAACTGTTACAAAACAATCAGAAAAGAATTACATTATTTTATTATTATAGATCTGTTAAGTATTCAAGAATATCATTCCTTACTTGGTTTGATTTGTCCTGATTTTCCTTTTGATATTGTTAAAAAGACTGCCAAGTAAGAATTTTATCTACTTTATTCTCAAATCAATGAGCCCATTAAAGTTTCCTGTTGTTCAAATGAGATGAAAATCATGGCCCTTTTCGATACAGATTGTAGGGAAACTTTGTCAACAAAATCCATTATTTTCAATTAAAAACAGCTTGAAAGTCTATTATCTTCTGTCAATAAAACTTTGTGAAATATCACTAAAAACAAGAAAATTGATAATGACTTCTTTGGTAATTGGAGAACAAAACAGTTATAATTTAGATATATGATCATATTTTTCCCTGAAAGATAATTTGATTTTTTTGGTTTTCAGAATAGTTTTGATAGATGATGCTTTAGATTGTCTCATTTCATTCACTGATTTTGTTTATGCATTTCAAACACAACTATATTTTGAAGGTAAAAATTATATATGTTTAGCTTTACATGGTTATTAGTTCAAATTGACAAAGGTTTGGGTCTATTATTTTCATCAGTTTATTTGATACATATAATGCTGTATTTGTTACCTCTGGGAAATATGGAAAATACAGTTTATTTTAAGGGACAGGTAGGCCATTTTTTTGACCAATCATACTTTAGTCTTAGAAACTGGAATTTTTTAACTGATAATAGTGTTCACAGCTCACCGTTGAAATTTGAGCCTTCACATCCATGTGTGTCCAGAATTATCTGCGTTTAAATATTAGATACTCTGTGATATATAGAAAAGACCTAGTTTGAAGTATTTTTAAAGAAATTTGGTGATTTCCGCACATTTCTAGTACTTCTGAAGACTATTTACATATATTTGAAAATCAGCACCCAAAATGGCACCACTGTCCCTTTAATACATCATACATCACTGAAAAAATGACACTTATAATGTTTGGTTTCCGTTCCATTATGCCAAATTATGAAAGTTAATTTTGTGCTTTCAATATTTTATTTGTGATGTTGTTATTTATTTAAGAATTTGTAGAGAAATGTTCAGGTATATATCAGTCATTACTACAGAGTTTTAGAAGCCCACGTGAACCAGTTGTGGTACCTACGTCTGGTCTAAAAGAGGACTCTGGTATACATCTTAATAATCATCAACCTACAGATGATGTTGATAGTATGCAATTTTTTAGAGCTATATACCCTATCTGTGATAAAATACAGTTTAGGTAGGTAAATGGCTTTTTTCTGTTGATATTTGACCCCTTTTCTTGAAACAATTTGAGGGAGCAGTTGTGACTTCGTGAATTAGACTCTTCCTTGCTTGAAGGTCCAGTGTTCAAACCAGGCATAGGTTGAGATAATGCCTAGCGATTTTTAAACCCAGTTTCCCCACTCAGTGATGCAGATCAGAAGGGCTGACATGGAACGTTTGGATAGGACAATAAAACAAAGCCCCATGTGTTACAGAATCAAAGAGCCTTTGACAGTTTGAAACAAAAAAGAATAGAATGCTGTGGTCCTGGCAAAGTTTTCCTCATTAAACACTGCATGGCATTGCCTGTCTTCATTAGCCCAAAGTAGGATGTAGAATTCCATCAATTTCATTTTTGTTTCAAAAGAATTCCAAAGACTTGAACAGTTGTTTAAATTTTGAATTCACCAACAGATTAAGCTCAATTTCATTGAATTATGATTCAAATTGGTTTTAATGTTTCATTATACCAACTATGTGTAGAAATTCAGATGTAAAACTCTTTATATTTTCATTTCATTTTAATGGGTATGTGTATATGTCCTCGCAAAGTGCAGAAAAATGCTCTTTTGATAGAATCCTACCTCCAAAATTGAAGAGCAGTAGTATGTTTAAGTCTTGTCTCTATTTTATTTCAGTTCACCACCAATAAGTTCATTAAAAGAGATATTATTTCATATTCCTAGAATCTCATTCTATGGTTTTATGATTGCTATAGCTAAAAGTGAATCTATTAATTCTTCAATAGGTAAGTAAGTTTATTGATGTCCGTTGCATAATGGCTATCAAAATTGTAAAACCACAACCATATAAGAAGTCACTGTACTGTCATTGTCATACTTTAGTCACAAAAACTGGAATTTTTTAGCTGAGCTAATCAGTAATAGTGTTCACAGCTCATTTAAACCTTCAAATCCATGTGTGTCTAGAATTATCCGTGTTTGAATGTTAAATTTTCGAATTGTCAATTTAAGATACATGTACTCTGTGATATATAGAAAGGACTTTTGTAGAAATAGTGTGTAAAATTGCTAGTTTGAAGTATTTTTAAAGGAATTTCGTGATTTTTGTACATTTCTAGTACTTCTGAAGACTATTTACATATATTTAAGACTGAAATCAACCCACCAAAATTGCACATCTGTCACTTTATATGGTCGTTTTGGTGAAATTGTTTTTTAGATATCTCCATCATTTTCTCTGCAGGACGATTGCCTCCGAAAATAGAATTATTAGAAGGTGGAGATACAGAGCTAACATCGTAAGAAATTTTTAAAATCCTGCATGGTGGTTGGTTCATTGTTATCGTAACTCCTCCCCTTCGTTTTATTTAACGGCATGTAACAAACCAGTTAGTCCTGTACAAAATTTCAAAGTTACTTTTTTAATTTTTTCTTTTGAAAACTTGATGCCTAAAAATCTAAAGTTTTCATTCTGAAATACTTTTTTTGCCAATCCGCATTTATGGATTGTTTGTTTCACTTAATTTCTATGGGTAAACTCATTCATTCTAAAAAAAAAATCCTCCATTTAATGAAGTTTAAACTTATGTGGTATTTGTCAAAATTTATTGACTATTACAACAAGAATTCTCCACTGGGAGTGATGATTGGTTGAATGCGGAACACACCTAAATAATGTTGTTAGATCTAACATGGTTGAAGAAACCCACAGAAAATACAAGAGATTATAGAGTTTCATATTAATTATATCACTTGTGTACAGGACTAACAAATCTTATCACTGTTTTTTGAACTTGTTTTAACTAACCAATCATATTGTTGAATAATGTTGATCCAATGAAAATTTGTGAAAATTGATTGAGCTAGCTTGAAGATATATCATCTCTTAGGATGACAATAATAATAATGATAATAATAATAAAATCTTTAATGACAAGGGTGAAAATTAGGTCAAAGGCCTCTTTACAATTTTGCCCGGTGAAATTATAACATGAAAATTATAAAAAATAATAAATTGAAATTTTTAAACTTGGATAAAATGAGTCTTTGTTTATCAGTGGACTTTCCTGGTGTCATAACTATACAACAGAATCCCTCTATAATCTAATAAATCTATAAAACTAAGTAATAGTCCATTAAACGAAGAAATTTGAAACATGTTTAAAAGCTTGCTATAATAATTATTTAGTTTAATGGATATATCATCTTATATATAGATTCTATTCTTTAGTAATAGCACCTGGTAAGTCTAACTGATGAATATAAACTTTTATAGACCAAGTTGGAGAATGTCCATTCTAAGAGGTAGTATCCTTTTAAAACAAAATACTAGATTTTCAGTGGATCAATTTGTATTTTACCTTCTTAACACTGGTGATGGTTTAAGATAGATTAAAGATACCTGTAGGAAGAATAATTACTGCACAATATGAACACAAGTCACAGACAAAATGCGCTAGAATTGCTTATTAAGGTATCTGTGTTATGTCAACTTGTTAGTTTTTTCAGTTAGAATGGCTGCGCATTGTATTCACAATTATATGGTATAGCCCTAATTTCAGGCATTTAGAATCCTGTCCAGCTAGCTTGTTAAAGAAGTCCACATTTTGAAAAGTTTGAATTAGTCATGTCACTTAAAGTGATACTACATCTTAGAATTAACATAAAATTTAAGAATTTTAAACTTGACGAATAAGAGCTAGTAGATATACCGGGTGTCATAAATAACATAACAGGATCCTTATATAATCTGATAAACTTTATGACACCAGGTAAGTTCACTGATAAACATAGACTAATATTGACCTTTTCCAGAACTTAAATTTTATATTTATTCTAAGACGTAGTAGTATCACTTTAATAGACAGACAGTTTTAACCTGGCAGTGACAAATTCAATTTATTAAAGGCCATTTCATTGTTTGACATTTCTATAATTTGAAGATATCAATACCACTGTCAATTAAAAATGATTATAAAATTCATTTTCATTTTTTTTTAATTTGGTAATGAATTTGTTATCTTATATTTTTCACCATTATTTTTCCTCATTCTTGGTAGGAATAAAGATAAATTTATTAGATGTTAATGAAAAAATGAATAAAAAAAACATTTATAATTGTACTTTATTTTTTGTATACAATCTTAAAAAAAACATTTTATTATTTTTCAATTTGTACAATTTTTATGAAATTTATTGTTATTATTAAAGCATCATAATGTTATTTTGTTTTATCAGTCAAATTATTTTTGTCAGTCATTTATATTTTCATCTGTCAGCCAAGTTGTTATTGTACATAGCTGAGTTATTATTGAACATAGCTAAGTATGTACATAGCTAAGTTGTTATTGTAAATAGATGAGTAGTTATTGAACATAGGTAAGATTTTACATAGCTCAGTTGTTATTGTACATAACTAAGTTTTTATTATATTAAGCTTAGTTGTTATTGTACATAGCTGAGTTGTTATTGTACATAACTAAGTTGTTATTGCACATAGCTCATTGTTATTGTACATAGCTCATTGTTATTGTACATTGCTGAGTTGTTATTGTAGATAGCTCATTGTTATTGTACATAACTAAGTTGTTATTGTAAATAGATGAGTTGTTATTGAACATAGGTAAGATTTTACATAGCTCAGTTGTTATTGTACATAACTAAGTTGTTATGGTATCCAGCTAAGTTGTTATTGTATATATCTTAGTTGTTATGTATTCAAGTTTAGTAACTGATGCCATACCAAATATAATTTGAAGATTCTTAACTTAAATCCTGTGTTGTCAATATGGCAACAGTAGATAAGATAACACTGCTTTTAGTATTCACAGTAACTGGAATTTTAGGAAAGAATTAGATTTAGAAGTCACAAAAGAAACATAGTAACAATAATGTGGTAGACTGAGATGGCTTATCACTATGTTTTTGTTTGAGCATAGACGTCTGCATTGCTTCCATGTTTTTCAAGCAGTAAACTTGGCATAGCTATGTGGCTGCAAACACAATGACCAGAAACAATTGGATAGTAATAGTAATAGTATCAATATTCTGTATTAGGTTATCCATTTTGATGTATGATCAACTGAAATTATGAGAAAATTTTGGAACTTACTCATCCTTATTTCTGTTGATATTGTTGTACTGAATGTTCCTATATATTTTAACAAGTTTGATTTTCCCTTCTTTCCGTTATCCAATTTTGTTAATCACATTAATCCTATTAACAGTTGTATTAATCTTGTTAATCTATGTTAATCTTCTTACTAACAACTTAGATTTCGCCCAGCATATGATATTTATGTGATGGGACCTCTCCTTGGATTGAATAAAATCAAGTAAAGTGAGTATTCAGAATCTTGACTTTATTTTATGCTAATTTCTTATCAGTGGGTATTTTTTATATGCCTAGGAAAAATTTGAGTACTCGAAAAATAGACTGAAACTGAAGTTGACTGGTAATTAAAAGCATCTAATAAGGTCTATCATATTCGACACAAGCAAAGCACCTAGCAGCAACCATTTTTTTTAGTCGTTAGTCATATACAGCAACCGATCATGAACCATTATAAATTTCATGGAAAGTAGCTGTTTTAGAAGCAGATGGTATCAGGTATAATTCTATTTCTGCAATAGAAGTTAACTTCTGTGATAAAGTAAATAATAAGACAACCATATCCTGTTAAGAAGCTCTTTTATTTTTCTTTGCCATATTATTCGAATTTTGCGACTGTTTTGTAAGATTTTGACTCCTAAATCTTAATCTATTTCTAGGTCCATATCAAAGAATGAGAGTCCATCCAGAAGTAATCCACCATCTCGAATTGGTACAGCACTAGTTAGACCAACAGTTCATCTTCCACCACGCTCTAAATCAGCTCATGGTACCTCTAGTACTAGTAATACTAAACTATCACGTAAAAAACCTGCTGTAGTATCTAGTTCATCAGAGACTGATAGTAGTACGGAATCATCAGACAGTATTTAATAGTACTAGTAATACTAAACTATCATGTAAAAAACCTGCTGAAGTATCTAGTTCATCAGAAACTGATACTAGTACGGAATCACCAGACAGTATTTAATAGTACCAGTAATACTAAACTATCATGTAAAAAACCTGCTGAAGTATCTAGTTCATCAGAGACTGATAGTAGTACAGAATCATCAGACAGTATTTAATAGTACCAGTAATACTAAACTATCACGTAAAAAACCTGCTGAAGTATCTAGTTCATCAGAAACTGATACTAGTGCGGAATCATCAGACAGTATTTAATAGTACTAGTAATACTAAACTATTTCATAATAAAACCTGCTGTAGTATCTAGTTCATCAGAGACATACCAGTACGGAATCATCAGGCAGTATTCAATAGTACTAGTAATACTAAACTATTACTTAATAAAACCTGCTGTAGTATCTAGTTCATCAGAGACTGATACTAGTACGGAATCATCAGACAGTATTCAATAGTACTAGTAATACTAAACTATTACTTAATAAAACCTGCTGTAGTATCTAGTTCATCAGAGACTGATACTAGTACGGAATCATCAGACAGTATTTAATAGTACTAGTAATACTAAACTATTACTTAATAAAACCTGCTGTAGTATCTAGTTCATCAGAGACTGATACTAGTACGGAATCATCAGGCAGTATTCAATAGTACTAGTAATACTAAACTATTACTTAATAAAACCTGCTGTAGTATCTAGTTCATCAGAGACTGATACTAGTACGGAATCATCAGACAGTATTTAATAAAGCTGTAACCAGTTGACGTACATGAAAGATTTCCTCAATAATTCATTTTGTCATGAAACCGGTCACTGATCTGCATTTTTTATTTATGCATTTAAGAATATTAAATTTATTTGTTATATTGTTAATCATTTAATAAATATATATTAGCTTGGAATAATGAAATGAATGGAGTTTTACGTCCTACTTTTCTTTACCATGTGGGCTAATGATGACAGGCAATGCTATGCAGGGTGCAATAAGGGAAAGTTTGCCAGATCAGCGGCATTAGCCTGCTCTTTTTCGATTTCCAACTGTCAAGGGATCTTTAACGTGCACAGTCTGTAGTACACGGGGCCTCAGTTTATTGTCCCATCCAAACGACTAGATGCCTTTTCAATGTCAGTCCCTCCTACTTGCATCACTGACAGAGAAACAGAGTTGCAAAATCTGAAGGCATCATCTCAACCTATGCTCTTGATTGAACCCTAGTTATATGTTAACTTGGAGCTCTTGTAATAATCATAGAACTGTATTAACCAACACTTGTGATAAGACACTTTAAGTTTGTGTTAAAAAATGAAAAAAAAACACCTCATAAAGTAAGGAAATATTTTATTCAACAGAGCATTTGATTGGGCGAATAATAAAAAAGCCAAAATAGGAGCTGCATAACAATGTCAACAGATCATGGATGGCATGTGGAGTCACCCACAGTTTTTACTGGTCATTCCCAAGTGTTAATATAGTCCATGACTCTTAAATAGATTTTATTATAAGCCTACATTATAGATCTATAAGCACTGATTCATGATAAATAACATGTTTATAAAATAATATACAAGTATTGGGGAAGGAATAATTACATGATCTTATATACAAATATACACAATTTGATTTGAGCAACCTTATTGAGGAATCAAAATGAAAAACATGCATCTTGGTATCAAAAAAAATGAAAAATTCTGAGAATTGATAGTTAATGCTGAACGTAACACGAGCAAATGGCATGAAATGGGGAGAAAAGGGAATTTATATCTTTGAAAATTTATCATGTATATTTTTGTATAGCAAAAGTTTGGCATCTCTTTGGATGATAATTTTGTTACATTAACTGATGAAGGAATGGTAAGATATCTACACATTAACAAAATCTACCTAAAAAATAAAGTGTGTACCTTGTCTTGGACAGGCCGCTTAATAAGAGATATTAAATATAAAGCACTGGTACAAGTTCATATGGCTTTCATAAAATTGTGAATTCTGATAAATCTGATGAAGATTATTTTTGTTAATTTATTTTACTCAATTTTTGTAAAAATAATAATAAAAGAAACAGGCATGCAATAATATAACAGAAATTTGAACATTATTTTCTTCTCTTTACATCTATTATAATACTGTATGTAACTATTTATATCTGCCATCCACCTCTATTAAGACTAGACATTGATTTACTCTTTGATATTCTTCTGAAATAGATGTAATGTAATGGCATTAAAATTGTAGTGTCACCAATTTATATTGGGTAAAACTTATTTTTAAAATGATTGTAAAGAGATTTTGTATGTTTTTTTGGACACGCAATGCTATCACAGCATAAAACCACAACGTTCCAGTTTTCAGTCAGACGTTTGTGGTTCCTGCAATTAAACAAAAACTAAGAGTTTGATGACGTCACTAAGTGCACAGGACCCCATCAAACACTTGTTTTTTGTGGAACTTGTTTTTTTTTTTTGTGGAACTGCAGGAACTGCAGATGTCAGTTATCATTGTTTAAACATTTTTAAGACTAATAATAAAAGTGTATACCTACCCACTAGTTAACAATGATTTACTATTTATTGGTACTCGTCTAGCTGTTGTTATAGTACCAGTATCATCACTATTAAACTGTAATTTACTTCTGATACTAGATGACTTAGTCATTGACATATAATTTGGTTTGTTTCGTCGATTTTCTGAAATAATTTTAGTTCAAGACTAATTTCTATTGGTTTTTTAAAGGCACAAGCTAAAAAAAAGTTTCTGCTAAAACCGCGTCAAAATTTTGAAAAGAGATTTTTTAAACTTTTTATATTCTTCGGGGACACTGATAGCATCAATTTGTACCATTCCAATATGCTCCATTCCAATATTCAATCAGAAGTCTGTGGTTCCAGAAATTCTTCTGAAACTAAATGTTTGATGATTTCACTTATTGCAAATATGATAAAGCACATTTAACAATTATTGACATCATCAAACATTTTTTTTTTTTGGAATTGCAGGAACCACATGCATCTGACTGAAAATTGGAAAGGTGAAAATTTATGATATCAGCGTCCACGATACACATAAAATTTTTAGAAAACCTCTTAACCATACCTTTTATGTTCAGAAGTCTACATATTCAAATCATATCAACCATAAGCTTAAATCATATACATATAATAATGCTAGCGATATATTAGACATCGATGTAACAACTCAATTACAAATTCAGTCACAGTGGCACCAGGTGTTCTAGATAGTGTGAAATGTAAAACATTATGACACTTACTAAATTCAGACTCTGTTTTCTCCATATTTTGACGTAATTTCTTCAGACTTTCTTTACATTTAGCACTAAGTTTATATTTCGGTGTATCTAGATTTATCTTAAATTGTTCTGGGGTCACTTGGGAATTCCTGAAAAAATTGATTTCACATTATTTAAGAAAAACAATGAATGCCAAATAGTCCTGATCAATTTACATAATTGACCACTTAAGTACACTTCTTATATCAGTTTCACACAGAGAAAGAGTACCTAAGCAAATTACAGTCCAAGGTCTAAAAGCCGTAAAATTCAATGATTAGAAAAGAAATGGACCATTTGCCATCCTTGGTCATTCAAGTTAATAACAATGCAGGTGAAATAAAGCACTCTTTCAAGGTCACCAGATAAAAGCTTTCTTTAATATACTATTTGACAAATGTTCATCCCATACTGGTGAAACAGGTTTTTAGATATATTTAGTCCAACAACCGGATATTTGGCTAAAAAATGGACATTGAACATCTAAAATTTGTGCTAAAGCAAAGTAAAGGAACTTTCTCAATATAGGCTATGTCTTACTTAGTGGAGTTTTACTTCCTCAACTTACCTATTTAAAGAATGAGTATTATTGTGAATCTGTTCTAGAGGTGTACGAACAGGAGACGGTGTTTTAACAGCATCAGCATACGACATACCTAAAAACAAAATAATATAATATAACAAAATAATATAATATAACAAAACAAAATAATATAATATAGCAAAATAATATAATATAACAAAATAATATAATATAACAAAACAAAATAATATAATATAGCAAAATAATATAATATAACAAAATAATATAATATAACAAAACAAAATAATATAATATAGCAAAATAATATAATATAACAAAATAATATAATATAACAAAATAAAATAATATAACAAAACAAAATAATATAATATAGCAAAATAATATAATATAACAAAATAATATAATATAGCAAAATAATATAATATAACAAAATAAAATAATATAACAAAATAATATAATATAGCAAAATAATATAACAAAATAAAAAAAAATAATATAACAAAATAAAATAATATAACAAAATAATATAATATAACAAAATAATATAATATACAAAATAAT